GCATATGTTGGACACAATGCATGTGTGCTAATGGTTATTGCATATGTTATATGATATACGTGAGTACATGTTAGTGTGATTGTGATTGAGTATAAATGATATATGTGATGATATAATAATTTGTTATAAGATATATGATATGAATATAAGAGATTATATGAACATGAAATATGTGATTATATATGTTACATGATTATGTGAATACATGTTAGTGTATTGGATCTATGTGATATGATATATATATGACAATAGAGACATAAGGAATTTAATGAACATGTGATATGTGATCATATATGTTATATAAGCTATGTGATATACGTGAATATAAGAAAACAAAGTATAAACTATATGATATAAATGATTTCATAAGAAAATGTTATATAAGCTATGTGACAATAAACTATGAATTTACGTGATATGAATATGTGAATATATGAAATGATAAAAGATAATGCCCATGTTATGTGTCATGAGAGCTAGAGGTACAGTTGGCATGTCAAGAGTCAAGGGTTATCTATGTCTTTCGGGAGATATGGACAGTTACCTATGTTCTTCATAACATATAGATAGTGGTCATTCGGGACATTTCTACGTGGTCCTTCAGGACAAATTCATATGCCCCTAGTGGGATCTTATACGAGCTGTGGTGACAGCATATGTGCACAACCTCTATGTACTCACATATCTATAGTTCTCACATGTGTACATAGGCTAACAAAGAGATAACAATAAACATATTACATGTGATGTATATGCTTTTGTGATATGAATTGTATTATATGATTTATATGATGATGTGGGTATTGTTTGGTTAAATGAGTCGTATGTTGATTAAAAGGTTAGGTACAAGAGGATAAAATTAAAGATGGTATTGTTTGGTTAAATGAGTCGTATGTTGATTAAAATGTTAGGTACAAGAGGATAAAATTAAAGATATAAATGATAATAATATTGATAGTGGAATAAGGTTATTGATGGAAATAATGTGTAATGTGTACATTACATTATATATAATGTTATATTGTTTTGTGTGACATTATGAGATGATATGTTCAAACATGTTTAAGTAGTTAGAGTTTCCTTTATAAGTTTTATGCCTCATTAAGTCATCAACTAAGCGTGTTAGTGTTTCACACGTAGGTATGAGAAAGCGAGAAGAGAAGCGAAGAGGAGCAAGACATGTCAGATTCTTCTTTCCACAGATCAGATCAGAATTGTAGTTGAGGATATGTATTTTGTTAGATAGAGTGTAGTTGGCATGTAGTCTAAAGATGTAAATTGTATAAGCTCTGATATGTTTTGTAAAACCAATTGTTCTTTAAATAAATGAAAAGTAATCATTTTCTTGAATTGTGCATTTAACTTTTTAGTCATTTTATGAAGAAAAATGTTTGAAAAGTCAATGTGACACATCGGACTCGGATTCGGGTCAGATACGGGTTGGGGGTGTTACAACCGATACTTTGGTACATGTACTTATAAACGTATAGATACAAATTTCAACAATTCTGATAACTCTTTACCGGTTTTGTCAAATTAAAACCGATTTTGTCAAATTTTAACATGTTATATTGTCATGATACATGTGTGTAAGGTATCGATACTTTATAGCTGCTATTATTGCAGTTCTTTTAAATTCCTACAGTAACGATACTTTTGTACATATACTTATAAACGTATTGATATAAATTTCAATAATTCTGGTAGCTCTTTATTAGTTTTGTCAAATTTAAATTGATTTTGTCAATTTTCAATCGGTTTTGTCAAATTCGTTACATGTTTTGTCAAATTGAAATCAGATTTGTCAAATTTTATCTTGTTATACTATCACGTATCGATAGATGTGTGTAAGGTATCGATACTTTATAGGCGCTTTTATTGCAATTCTTTTAAATTACTAAAGTACTAATACTTTTATACATATACTTATAAAGGTATCGATACATGTCTACTTTTAACTGATTTTCTTCACTTTTTTATATATTACTATATATATTAATACTTTTGTGCACGATATCTATACCTACTAATAAGAAAAGTTTACATGTTGCCAAATTTTTTTTAATATTTCTTCATGTATTCGTCCTACAATATTATTATCAGTCAATATTTCCGGTAGCGCTTAACCGACTTTATTAAGTATCTTATTAAATTTCCAGTCACGCCGTTTTTTAGCCATATAGTAATCTACTTTTCCTTATACATTTCCAAAATTGTACAAGTTCATGCAATATGTTAGAAGGCATAAGGTTTAATATTATTATATATATAAAAGAAAATCAATTAAAAAGCTGAAATGAAATCTTTCTTTTGAATGAAAAGTATGCAAAATCTAAAAGCAACTTGGATTCTAGCTGGGCTCAGGTTTCTGGAGAGGCAGACATTTGTGGTGACATTGATTAACATATTTGTTCAAAGGCTTTTGAGTATTATCATTACTCTAAAGAATCATTGCTTAATTCAAAGGTTAAACGATCATAATCATGTTTGTGGAGAATACTACAGAAAATTAAAAAAAAAAATTGATTGATATATTTAAGCATATAGGAATTAATTAAAATATAGATAAAGTGCCAGCACCTTATTGAATGTGTTGGTGGCCTACAAAGAACAAAGGAGTACTTCCTTAATAGGAAAAATAGTATCATCAATGGGATTCAAGGAAAAGTCATGATCGGTTGGTTTGATAAATTTATTAATTTTTCTTTTTGGAGAAATAAAAGGTTTTGTTTATTTATTAAGATGAAGAAAAGAAATGGCTGACTTAGGGTTGTGTCCATATATAAATCACAGGGTAGTTCCTATATAATGAGTTTGTCGGCTCACATTTTAGGGCTTGGATTCAAAAACTTAAGAGAAAAAAACATTTTGATAATGGCCTAGGATGTAGCATAACAATAGCTTGAATATTAGTGTAAAATTGAAATAAAATATAAAATATATTATTCGGTTTTAATTATATTTGAAGTAAATTGATTAATTTTTATATATAATATTTTGTTAATGGTAACAATGTGTGTTGTGCTAGCTGGAGACGAATCATCCCTTCTAATTTAGATAAATAGTCACAGTCAGTAAGATTATGATCAATGATCATTTGAAGATGATAAGTGATGTTATATATCTCCAAGTAATAAGAGAGATCAAAGAAGTCTCACCCCTTACAAGTTTGAAATAAAGATTTTTATAGTGACCATTATTGTTGGTGTCAGAGATCATAACGACTATTCGTAGATTGATATACTGAGTAAATATAATAGTGTGATAGTAGATTGGGTTTCAACAAGTCATATAGACTCATCAAAGGTTATGCTAAACAATAGTAGCAAGTCAAAGGATATGGAGATTCAGAGGACGATAATAGGTATGAGAAAGTTCTAAAGGGGTATAACACTCCTAGGAGATAAGATTTTGAAAATTTCAAGGAACTTTATAAGTCTCTACGTTTGATAAGTAGAAGAATGACAAGGTTAAATTATATGGAAAATATGGAGGAAGTATAACATATTTAAATTCTAAACCATAAACTTTTAAAAGATAGAGTTATATCCAAGTTAACAAAATGATGGAATTAATTATAGTGTATTAACTGGGAATATTTTAGAATTAAGGTGTGATAGTGATATAGACAATGGAGAGAAGAAATTGGTTCGGTAAAACCTTTGAGCCCAGGGTATCTTGTCTCCGATTAGGGTAGGGAAATGGGGTCCCCTCATTGAGCGAACACCCGCTTCACCTCAAGTACACGAAGACCAAAGACCAAAAATAAAGATAAACAAAAGAAAAAAGTATGATATCTGTCTCAGATGATGATTAAAATAAAGCCATTTGCAATATAGGCCATACTCAAAGCTTCATCACCCTATGCTTATTTTAAGTTGGTCCATTATTTTCAATTGTTTTTCTTTTAGGGCAGGAGACAAAAAAGATAGAGATTTTAGATTTTATAGAGATGATAACTAAGGGGTTTGTAGACCAGTTAAGGTGGGGAACATATTCACATGCAAAGTTGACAATATATTTATATCACACATATATTAAGCACATAGGAAGATAGGCTACATGACTGTGTTCCTCACTTAAATGGGGTATCAACAAATTTTCGTTTACATTATAATTTTGGGGTTTTCCTTTTTTTTTTTGCCAATAGTCATTGTTCTAAGAGGGGGTTTGTGGACCAAGCATGTTTAAGAAGAAATGTTGGTTTGTCTACTTAGTGCTTTAGGGAAATATAGAAATAAGCATGTTGGGTTTTTTTCCATTGATTTTTATATAAATATTTTTGTGTAATGAATTCTTTTTTTGACTTATGGTTTGTGTGTTTTAAAGATGGGTAGGGGGAGCTTGGAGGGTTTTGATTGGAACCAAATTGCAAATGCATCTAAAAAGGGAAGTGGTGTGTTGTCACCTCCTTGGCCTCCCTTTGCAATTGACCTCCATGAAGGATTTGTAAAGGGAGTTGAATAATTATGTCTTTTATTGAAGTATCCTTTTAGGGGGGGTTTTGGCCCCCCATTTCCTCTCTTCCCTCTTTGTGCCCTTATGTTTTTCTGATGCAAATGGATGAGGTGGATGAACACATAGCAAAGCATACAACAGCTTTGAGTACGCCCCCACATCTATAGTCTTGAATGAATTATACTACCTGTTCTATGATGGTAGACACTACCACTTTATGCATCAATTTTCCACAACTTCCATGCATGGATGTTGGATTCTTTTTCTTTCCTTCTTTTAACCTACAAATAAAATTTAAGAAATGAACTTGAAAGAATGAAATTGAACTGTACTACTCATCCTATGTTTATGGCCAAAATCAATTCATATGTTCATGAAGTCGTTCTCTTTTGAGTTGTTAGCATAGAGCACAAGATGATAGAGATGTTTCCCATTACTTTGATAACTTCAAATCAACCTTTATTTTAACTTTGTGGATTAGTTAGTTTAGGTTAATGGATTGCCTTTGTTTAGCTTGTAGGGAAAAAAAAACTTTAGCTATCTGTGTCTAACTGTGAATTTTGATGGTTAAATAAGATATTGTTTAGTACATCTTTGTATTCTCAACTATTTTTTTGCTTGTCCTGGGAACAAGGATAAATAAGCTGTCTCACTCAAACACTGAAACATCTCCATTCCAACTGCATGACGCAATTACATTAGACAAGATGGGATGGAACACGACGTCTATGCAGGCTTCCTCGTAGGCCTTGATTTTCTTGATAAGAGCAGGCGATCGAGAGTTATAGAAGTATATAGAACCATCTGAGGAACCAGAGACGAGCTTCTCTCCATCCAAGCTGAAATTGCACTTAATTGGAAATCCAGCCACTCCATGGCTTTCATACCTTTTATACTTGTCTAGCTTGAAGGGAGGATTTGAAGAGAAAATGGCAATATAATTTCCATTTGATTGGGCCACAAAATAGGGATCAAATGGGTGGTACCTTACACAAGGGCAAGTGTAGGCTTCTGCATAAACCTGAAACAATTAGCAAAGATTAGGTCATAACAATAAGCAAAGTTGTCAACTTATATGTACTCATTATATATTCTAATATACAACAACTGTACCGAGTGCCATTACTCTAGAAGTTCACCACTGTTACCATTTTCACCAAGACAAGAGAGTAACATCTTAGGTGTCTAAGAACATTTATGTGTTAAAACTGTCCAAATATCCTATCAAGCTTGTCTGGAATTGCAATGTCCATATGAGAAGAGATGATTGGGACATATCCATAACAAGCGGCTGAAGAAAGACGTTTAATAGGGCACCAGAAGTGACAAGAGTGATAGAAGTACTTGACTTTAGTCCAATGGAACATCAGTCTTACAAAGGAGTCTAGTACTTTGAAACGGCTGATTGATTATGCAATTTTTCTCTTCCATATAAAAAGCATGTGCTTTTTAATGACAAGACTCGTATCAAACTTCAAACTCATACAAATTGGACCTGACTTAAGTTGATATAACTCAAGAGGCGGTATTCAAACGACTCTTTTCAAGATCTGTCAATATGAACAGAAAAGATAGGTGCCAATTCTACAAAAAAACCAGTGGTTCATTTATAAAGCTCTGCATTATAGAGGCACAAAGTTAAAAGTTTGTAGATAGGACCTATTCAGATAACTAATGAATTATTTCTTTCCATTCGATTTAGATGGTTCCCCAAACCCCAAATTATAGTCAAGACTCATGAGGCTTTTGTGATTTGTGCTGAGAAATTATTAACACAGAATGTTCAAATTAAAACATTTATTACCTATAAAACTGCGCTACAAATGGTATTATTAGATTAGGGCAAGGCATAGCAAATACAAGTGCAATTAGCTAGCCACCCTTGAACTAGTCGACAAGTGCATTTACTGTTCTCCTTGAAGCATTGTTCAATAATTGAAACAATGTAGTTTGAGGCATGAAAGAAAGGAAATGGGTTACAGGTATGATATAATACAAATAAAAGCTCAAATGTGAAATGCTAAAATAATATGATACAACTTGACCACACAGTAACAGATGAAGATGTATATCTCCGCCTGCTGATAATACTTCAAAGTTTGTTGCTATTTTTGTACTTAGAGCTTATTAAGGTCAAATAACATTCGTTCTTATAGTCGCATATTGGTAGAAACTTATGTCATGACTCATACGTGCTACATACAGTTTTGATTTGAGTATTCAACAAAAGTAAAAAACAATTGTGAGAAGAAACAAAGGTTTAATAAGAAGGAATTGTGTTTCATTTTCTTGCAATTAGAACTGATTAATCTATTTAACTATCTAGTCCTTTTGATTTTTGATTTTTTAACCAATGTGATAGAAGGTGATGCTAAAGATTCAGTATAGCAAAAAGTGATATATTTAGGCTTGAAGGTAGCCATCTGCTATAACAAAGAAGAAGAGAACCGTAAATGCGACTAAGAGGAAGCAATATGAGGTGGATATAGCTCCACCATAAAAATCTCAGTGATGAAGACTAAATGATGTAGAAATGTGTCTCTAACCTGATTAGACAGTGGAACCTGTCTAGAGATGTCCCAAACGATAATGGAATTTTCACTGATGTTACCCCCAGAAACGTCACTGGAAGATACAAATTGCTTCCCGTCAGTGGAGAATTCAACATCAAGAATTGGACCCAATCCTCGAATGTATTCATGGACCACCTTGCCAGTTCTAACATCCCACAATCTGAGTCTTCCCTTTGATCCCCCAGAAAGGAATAAGTTTGAGTTATCTGGATGGAATTTTATAACTCCAACAGCCTGATCATCTCTAAACATCTGTGATTCAAGTCCCTTTTCAACGTCTATCAATCTTGATGAACAATCATATCCACAAGAAAGTACAAACAATCCCTGCTGTGACCATTTAACATCTTTCACAGCAGCATTGTGAAAGTTAAGCACACGAGCTTTCTTGTGATCTCTGCTCCATACATTCCATATGCTGATTGTGTGATCCATCCCAGAAGAAGCAAGTAAGTGAGCTGTAAACTAGAGTGTAAGTAGTTAAAATGGCACTTAGAAGATTGTCCCAATAAAAATAATGCACTAAACCAATATCTATACATCTGAAGAGATAAAAGTACAAAAATACACAATTAATTGTTATAAAAAATAAATAAGTAAGAACATACCATGTGTTGGTGACCAATGAACAGCAGTAACAGCTTTTGCATGCCCATTCAGAGCTATGGTAAGCTTTTCCGGAATTTGACTTAGTTGTGTACGGCCCTTTGGTTTATGCCACATTGATGAGAGAACATCGTGTGGTACATCTGATTTTGAAATGCTTCCTATAACTGAGAAAAGAGTTTATCTAATGAGCTGGGGAAATGAGACAACTTTTCTATGATTCTAGTAAAGTTAATCTTGACATAAGTCAACAACTTAGCATAACCATCATTATAAAACTATAATAAGTAATGAGGAACAAACATGATTCAGGAATACATTTGTTTTAGTGAATAGTTTCACAAAATGGACAAATGGTGAAATTCCGTTCTATGAATAAACGAACATCCATTTTTCCCCTCTAAATGGTGTTGACCATAACAATCAATAAGCTTGTCAAATATTTGGACTACTTTCAAAAAACGGACTTGTGTACATTTATTTGTTCTGGTCCGTTTATTAGAAACCAAAAACACTCAGATAAGGATTTGACTATTATCACCATCAGACAGGTGCCTATCACCAGAACAAATCATGTTAAAATTTTCTATCACCTAAGGGCTCATTTCTGTCTGCATTTTGCTTCCTGACCCCGCCTGAAGTTCCAACTTTTAATAGTGTACACAGTGAAAAGAAAAGCAATTCTAGATCAAACTACAGAATAAATGAGTAAGGTGTTAACGTATTAATACCAAAAACAAGTTCAATATACGATGTATCAAAAAGACAATGGGCTTCACGGACATAGACAACAGTAAAAAATGGCACTAATCTTTGAATTAGAGAAGATTTATCCAATGATATAAGGAATAGAAAATAGAGTGCAAGGCTATTGAGCCTCAGCCTCCTCCTTCCCAAAAAGTAGTAATATCAACAACAACAAAAATTAAAATGAATATTTTTCTTCCTACAGAGATGTTCTTTAGCTTTTGCTCAAATGGACCATCACCAACTCAATACAAAATTTCTCCACTCAATTTAAAACACAAATTAAATTGAGCATCTAATTTTAAACATCAATTGTTCCATCAAGTACAAGACTAGCCACTTCCTCTTTTCATTGGGTTCTCAAATAAATATTCATCAAGACAACAACTTTAAACCCAAAACAAAAAAACAAAAAAAAAAGAAAGAAATTGTTCGACTAAATGGGGAAAAGCCGCTAAAAATTGGGAAGATAAAAGAAAAAAGTACCTGATTGAGTGATGACATGAGGACCCCGGGTATTCTGTTTCGATTCATCAGCCTCGGGAACCGTACCAGAAAGTGCTCGTTCCCTTTTCGATATGTATCTGCCGGGAAGCGGAGCTTCTTCTCGCTTTGGAAGATCCAATGTGGGTAATGGATATTCGGGTTTGGTCCGTTTCGAAGGACGGAAAGGAAGGTGCTGATGATAAACAGGTTTACGTTTAGGTTCGGGTTCGGGTTCGGGTTCATCGTCTGAAGTGTTGGAGTAGGCTTTGCAAAGAAGATCCATGGCTGAACCGAGAAGCTATTTTCCTTTTCAGTTGCCCTATTCAGTTTTTTCAGTTTCTCTGCTTTGGCAAATTGGGCATTTAATTGCAACGTAGTATGCAAATAGCCAAGCCCATTACTATTTTCTATTCACCATTATAGGCCTCTGCCCCTAAAATTTAGACTCAACCCGTTTTCGAGCCTACAACTTTAAAAGTTGACTCAAATTCTGCTTATAAAAATTCGAAAATAAAAATAGAAAAACAAAGTTAGAATAAAAGCTAACAACATGAATAATCAAATAAAAAAGAAAAATAAAATTCATGAATGGGTTCATGTTTATTGAACTTGAATTTGAAGTTCCCTTGATAAGCCAATGACCCAACGAAAGATAGATCCAAAAGTGCTTATTCCAAAGCCAACATTCATGAATGGTTCTGTGGCCGATTACCAAATATTATAGCATTGCTAAACGAGCCTGTAATCGTAGATTTATGGGCCAATGTTGAACGTAAACGTGATGATGCTTAGCATTAGCAATAACCCCTAAATATATTTTGGCTATTATACACATACACCTTGTAGTGTTGAACTGTGTGTCTTTTATTATTATTAAATAGAGAGATGATATATTTTTTAAGGCAAATGTTAGGATTCAAATTCACATAAAGTGAAACAACATGAACATTCTTAACTACTCGATCAATTATTTGATCTTTGAAGTATGTATTAATGGTTAAATTTAAAATTACTTTTATCTTAACATTTAATTTGGGCCTCTATTTCAAATAATATAAGAATGAAAGATATCATTTTTCTCAAATAATAAATTTATTTATTTTCTTTAAAATTAAAGGTATTTTTGAAATTTTAAAATTGGGTTTATGGTGTTATAATATTTTTCCCTTAAAAAATAATAGGTGAGTACTCTCCTAACAAAATATGGGTATGAACATAAAAACAGGTGATGGGCCCTAAAAACACAATAATGATGATAAGGGAATAAAGGGAATGTAAGTAGTAGGTCCATCCCATGACTCCTCTTCATATTTCTATCATCAACCCTTCCAAAATATTTTATTAAATAAAATTATTAGACCTTACTTTTTCCAGGCTCCCCATAGACCTACTCTTCATAAACATAAGCTTAATATGCTTATTTTTCACATTTATATATATTTTTATGGGAAAAAGCAGCAATTATATAGCAACCCTTTTTCTTTTATTTATATGAATTTTTTAAAACTTCAATTACAAGTTTGGTTTTATTGATGCAAAAATGAGGTCATGCTGTGAAGGCCTTGGCCTAAGAAACTGACCCATGTGCCCTAACCCCCACACAACAAATCTTCTAGGGACTGTATATTATTCTTTTTTTACCAAATTGCAGCAATGACTGCCAAATTATGGTACTTCATGGGAGATTTGATAAGATATCTCATTCATTGCCTTCCAATGAAAAAAAGGGGGTTATATATAGTGTTTGGAAGAGACAAATCCTAATTATTGAATCTATGTTTATTCAATTATATGTTAACACCGCATAACTAAAATTCTATTAACTTTTATTACTTAAAAACTTTTTTATTGAATTAGTGTCATGAATTATTTAAATATCTATTCAATTAGAAAATAGTAAAAATATTATTATAATAGTATCTTTATATTTTTATATAAAATATTTGAGGATCAAATGCAAGGTTAATGAACTTGTATGTGAATTCTTTATTATTTCATTTATGTTTATTTATTGAATATTTTTATTAATATATTGTTTTAATTATTTTTTATCTACATCATAAATATGACGAAATTAATAAATTTATGAGTAAATTACTTTAAATATCATTGAACTTTAGGATTTGTAGCAGTTTTACTATTGAACTTTAAAATATTTCAATATAAACATTGAACTTTGATTTTGGCTTAACTATAAGAATCATACCATTAATCCATTAACAGTAGTATGATGACAATTTGATCATGACATGGAAGCCATTTTTCTATTTTACTTGGTTATCAAAGTTGAGTTTTTTGAAAAATGTCATTCCCCTCGTCTTTTGAAACCGATCTAGATATTAATGAACTCGTCTCATCGTCCTTTGTCACTTTGTCGGTTTAAATTTCTCAAAATATCTTTAAAACTCATGAAACTAAATACAAAAATTCATAATTTTAAAGGGTTCAGAGAGTTTGTTAAAATATCTGAACAGTAAGAAACATTCTTTCAAGTACTTCAAAATTAACCTCATTGGACAATTTTCGAGAGATATCAAAGTATTAAAACGGCAAATTTTTAGATGAATTTTCATCGATTTTGAGTGAGAATTGTAGAAAATTAATTTGATGATATGAAAGAGGAATGAAATATGGATAATTTGGTATTTGTTTTACCACGAATGACAACTAGTGACATCAATCACCAATTGATCGACAGTGGTAATCGAAACAGTTGACTATTATTTGTATATACCAAAATGGTATGTAAACTAAAATTTAATGCTTAAAATGAAATGTTTTAATGTTTAGTAAAATAAATGATACACAAGTTAATGCTCAAGGGAGAGAAAAGGATCGCACCATCATTCCGTTAATGACTTGATGATTTGATGATCTAATGCTTACATTGAAACTAAAACAAAGTTCAATATTAAAATGGAAGTGCTTTAAAATTTAATAGTAAAATTAATACAAACCCTAAAATTTAATGGTATTTGATATTTGAAGTAGCTTACCTTAATCTTAATTCTTGTTTGATTCAATTAAGATAGCCATCAATAGTATCTATAACCTCAAAGTTCATACAGGGTTTAATGAGAAAGTTAGGGCAACAACTATTCTTCAAAGTATCTATAACCTCAAAGAAATTAACCCAACACAGAGAAGAAATATAATAGATAACCGACCAAAGAAAGTTTTTGTCTTTTTTTTTTCAACGGGGAAAACCAGAAAAGCATAAGAGGACAAGCAATGAAACAGCATTCAACTCAGGTATTTGAAATATTGCAAGATTATAAAAACAATGTGTATGTGATAGGTGTGGGGACCAATGAACCAAGATTCAATTTCAGCAAGAAAAGAAAATAGGAGGAAGTGAAAGAAATGAAAGGGCTAAAGGAATGTTTCATCAAAGAGGGTCAAGATCCATGTCAACCCCACCAGGTGGGATGACTAATTAGCTGACAATGACATATCCCCACTACTAGTCAATTTTGTTTATCCTTACACATCATCTTTCTATTGAAAACATCATGGACCTTTTATTTTTTTTAATAAATATATTCACGGTGGAAATTCATAGTGAAAATTTCAAGCCCCATGGCTATTTCTAACAAAGTCAATGAAAAGAGAGATGGTCTTTTAAGGCACAACTCTCTTAAATCTTACATTTGTTTTTCTTAAACTAGCTACTCCTATTTTTAATTTTAAGGTAAACTCCTAATATAATCTTGGATGCTTTCACCTTTTGTTTGATTTTAATATCTTCCTTGGGTGTTCCTAATAAAAGCATACTCCTTCCCAAATCAAGTAATATTTTTCTTTATAAATAAGAATATTTTTTAATACTCTGAAGTGATTACGTTATATTTATTCAGAATTTTTTTAGCATACTGACAACGTACACAGAGGGTGCAAACACAACTACTCAAATTCGAGTCCTCTAAGAAGAACAACATTCTCTCTTATCACTGAAATCTCTCAATGAGTTCATAAATAAGAATATTTAACTAAATACAATTATACAAAATACTTAAATTCACAACTTCTTGAATATTACGACAATTATGATGCAAATCGAATTAGTACTCAATCAATTTTTTTGTGTATTTTTTTAATATTCTCTGTTAATTACAAGGTAGTATATGTTAATAACTTTTTTTAATCATTGACAATGCACACACACCTTACATACGCATATGTTCGAACCCAAGACCTCAAAAGAGAACAACATTTCATTTAACCTCTAAGGTGAATTAATGAATTCAAACTGAAGTTTATATTTTATATATAACTTAAACCGAAATAATTGTGCCTAAAGAACCCTAATGGGAGTGTGTTTAGCTTAAATGATGAGATTATAGCTTTAGGGAGTTGGTAAGGATGATTAGAATTTGGAAGAGTTACAAAGGTGGGATTCATTAATACAAATGCTGGATTAAACAATGTGTAGACTTCTTCTGACTTTATATTAAAAATTATATTTTTATTATACAATAGATTATGTTTCCACTAAGTAAAATAAATTAATAGATGTTACTAGAATAAGATATTAACCCGGGATGGATGTTTGTTCTTTATCTTCTTTATTTCCTCCTATAATAATTAAATAATAAAATCGGTTGAATTATTTGCTAGTTATTAAACAATATATATATATATGTATCCAACAACTTTGATCAAAGTGGAAATCTTAGTTGGTATTTTTGTTTAAAAATGAATGATGATGGGTGAGTTGTGACGACGATATTTTATTAATATTTCAAAACTTATTGAGAAACAAATTCGTAAAGATAATGAGTGTGTGTGGGGATTTGACTTAGGGGTACATTATTGATTGAAGGAAGGATGAAAAAGATTTTTTAACCATTGAATATGCTAAATGCTGGATTTTCAACCCTTTACATAACAAGTCAATCACTCAATTTATATCAGTTGACTACTGTTACATGGTTTTAGAATTTATTGACTTGTGACTTTGCAAGCAGATACATAGTCTCCCTAGCATGAACCGATCACAACAAACTATTTATTTTATCATATGTATATATGTATAGTGTTATAGTATTAGTGGTAGTGCTAGCTTTGACATGCTGCATTTTCTTATCCTTCAAATCCTTTTCAATATTATGTTATTAGAGGAGGTAATCAGATCAATTGGATCGAGTTCAAGTCAAATTATTTTAAGTTTATATTGCATTTAATTTATGTTAATTTAGGGTCATATAGAATCTAGTTCGGATATATAGTAAGTCAAGTATTAAGTTGAGCTAATATCAGATCGGTTAATTTTTAGATCATATCAATATCAAATCGATGAGTTTTTCGATTCGGGTTAATACCATATC